CATGCTGGCTCAGGAATTCTGGGAGTTGAAGTCCACGAGTCATGAAGGGGCCAAAGTTTCCCTCATGCTGGCTCAGGAATTCTGGGAGTTGAAGTCCACGAGTCATGAAGGGGCCATAGTCCCCCCATGCTGGCTCAGGAATTCTGGGAGTTGAAGTCCACGAGTCATGAAGGGGCCAAAGTTTCCCTCATGCTGGCTCAGGAATTCTGGGAGTTGAAGTCCATGAATCATAAAAGAGCCAAGGTTGCCTACCCCTGAGCTAGAGGCCTCCATTTCTCCTCTTTTGTGATCCTCTTTAAACAGATGTTCCCTACCCAATTTCAGACCTGCAGGAACTTAAACAATACTTTTGAAAGTCAGTCAATCAGTCCCTCCCCCCAAAAATATCAATTTCATTCCTCAGAAATCTTAGCAGTCTTTCCCGGCTTACCTCAGTGGATTTAATTTGGCCTTTGATGTCTTCTGATTTTTCAATGAGGAACTTCATGTACTGCCTTCGGCTTTCCGTTTTTGCTCTTTCCACGAACAGGAGATCTTCGGTTTTCACAAAGTCCCTACAAAAGTAGCAACAGAGTATTTGCAGCTCAGGGTGGAAGTGTGGGGCCCTCTGAGCTTGGCGGTTTTCTTGCAGACGTTTCATGACCCAACTAGGAAACATCATCAGTGCTAGAAGAGAATGGGGTTTGTGGAGTGGAGAAGTGGGAGGGGGGAGGAAGAGGAGGACTGTGGAGTCCTTGATGATCTCTGAGCTTGGTAGTTTTCTTGGAGATGTTTCATGACCCAACTAGGTAATATCATCAGGGCTGGAAATGAGCGGGGTTTGTGGAGAGGAGGAGGAGGAGGAGGAGGAGGAGGAGGAGGAGGAAGGAGGAGGAGGAGGAGAATGAATGTGGGGTCCTTGGTGCTCTCTGAGCTTGGTTGTTTTCTTGCAGACGTTTCATGACCCAACTAGATAACATCATCAGAGCTAGAAGGGAGGGGGTTTGAAGAGGAGGAAGAGGAGGAGGAGGAGAACGACTGTGGGGTCCTTGGTGCTCTCTGAGCTTGGTTATTTTCTCACAGATGTTTCATTACCAGACTAGGTAACAACATCAGTGCTAGAAGGGAGTGGGGTATGTGAGGAGGAGGAGGAGGAGGAGGAGGAGGAGAAGAAGAACTGTGGGGTCCTTAGTGTTCTCTGAGCTTGGTTATTTTCTCACAGATGCTTCATTACCAGACTAGGTAACATCATCAATGCTAGAAGGGAGTGGGGTATGTGGAGATGAGGAGGACAATGACTGTGGGGTCCTTGGTGCTCTCTGAGCTTGGCTGTTTTCT